CTACTTCGAGTATATTTTGAGAAATAATTTTAATAGGTATATATATTATAATGTAGTTAGTATTGATAACTGTGATGTTATAATTGCATTATTTTTAATATTTAATGATTAATTTGTCACTTAAGATTGTTAAGTGTTTCCTAAAATGGAAATGGGAACCTTCTAACGGGACGTCCAAAAAAAGAAAGTGGGAACCTTCTAATGGGACGGAGGGAGTATTAATTTACTCCTGCTTAGAGAAAATATATCACTTGTATTTTACAACTTTACATTGTTTTTACTCGCATATATTTCGTGATACTTTCGAGTATGTGAGGCTTTTAGTAGGGGTTAAGGTCAGAGTTTCCCTTCAAGGAAGGATTAAGAATACTTTTAATTATAAAGCGTACTTTAGATCAAAAAGTATTCTTAATAAGGGGTAAACTATCCTAATCTGATCTGATCCGGAGTATATCCTAAACAACGGCGAATCAACCCTAGATCAAAATTGAAATGCCTTTATCCGAGTAAATTATGGTTCTTCAATTATTTTTGCTCAGAATTGATTGATTTGGGACCGAAACTGATTCGTACGAATCAACTTCATGGTAATTTTTCCCCACTATTTAACGTTTTTATATAGTCAACTCGCAGTGGATCATCTCATTCAACCTAGTCAATACACAATAGTACATTAACACAAAGTAAAATATGACACTTATAAGTTATAACGTATCTCGTTAAAGTCGTTAGGCCAGGGAGCAGTCATTATGCTACTTCATATCGCATTTGACTGCGGACTACTTTAGTCAAAAAATTCGACGGAACATCTTTATCATACAAATAATACTCCAAGTAGGGATGGACTCGGGTCTGGGCCGGGTCCGGGTCCGGGTCGGGCCTAGGCCCGGGCGGGCCGGCGGTTCAGAAGTGGTGGACCCGAGACCGTCCCGGGTAACCACCGGGTCCGGTCCGGGCCAGGCCGGGCCGGGCCCATTATCAATTTTTTTTTCCTCTTCCTAATTAACCCCCCTCCCACCCCCAACCCCCCAAACCACCCCAAATGACCCAAAATACCCAGCTCAACCCGAAAATTTAAAAAAAATAGAAAAAAAAATAGTTTTGGCCCGAACCGGGCCCGGGCCCGGCCGGGTTAGGCCTTGTTTTGGGTGACCCGACCCCGGACCGGAAAACCCACGGGCCGGGCCTACACTGACCGGACCACCGGGTCGGGCCGGACCGGAACAGTGCCGGTCCCAGGCCGGTTCCAGGTCGGGCCACCCGGCCCAAGTCCATCCATACTCCGTAGGATCAAAGAGGAAATTCAAGTCAAAAGTGTTTCCTAATATATTATTGCAATAAAATTTATGTATGAAAATGTAATTAACGTTTCTATAAGTATACATTCATGCTCACTAATGTGTATAATTGATTATAACCTATGAAGCACGGATACTTCCCTAGGGTAGCGTATCGGCGTATCGGATACGTTCCTGTATCCGATACTCTAGGATACCCGTACCGTACGTTCCCGGGCCGTATCTGTAATTTTTAAAAGTTTCCATTTTTTTTGTAATTTTTTGAAAGTTTGCGATACTCGTATCCTGACGGATACCCGTATCATTGGCAGTTTTTTTGGAAGATGATATTATTCCTGTAAATTAATACTTCCAGTGAAAATATGTATTAGATGTTAGAGCTTTTAAAATATTGTTTTCTATCTTAATTATTCTAGAACTTTGGTACTTGCATTTTTAATTTCAAGATTGTAGTTGTTTGACTTATTTCTCATTTTAAATTAATGACTTATCGACTATATGTCTACATTTATATTTCGAGATGCACTACTGTATATGAGAAATATTATGATGTATATGTAATGAATGGGTATATATGTATATATAGGATATATATATATCCAAAAAAAATATTTTTTTTTTGTATATTTCATAGGATATTATATGTATATATTTCCAAAAAAATCTATTTTTAATATTTATAAATACACCCCTGTAACTTTTAATATTTGTAAATACACCCCCATAACTTTTAATATTTAAAAATATGGCCCCGTATCCGTATCCTACTTTTTTTTTGTTTTGCCGTATCCCCGTACCCGTGTCCGCGTTTCCGCGATTCCGCGTACCGGTATCGGTGCTACCTAGATTATAACCAGTCGTTAAAATTTATTATTACGGTCATTGTGCATAAATTGTCACATTTTTATGTGTTACTCCGTATTATTTAGTCATATTTTAGTCATTGGGATTGTTTGGGAAATGACTGATCACCCGTTAAAAATGCTGTTTGGTAATTGACTTGTCCGTTCAACTGATCATCCGTATGAAGAAGCTGAAAAGCCACGCAAGGCAGCGTTTTGTGAGTACGTATACCGTGCAACCGTTATACGGTGAGCACCGTATATCGAGACGGTTATATATTTTTTTTTTCTTTTGTTTTTAAAAAATGGTTATAACTTTTTTATTTTTGATCCGATTTTTATAAAATTTATATCAACATTTTTTATTTTTCATGATTTTTCAAATTAGACCAATATTGCCTATGTAATTTTAACATATTAACATTTGTGTGTAAAATATGTAACTTTAAGTGTTAAAATATGTAATTCACGTTCAGTCAAGTCAAATTCAACTCGTGTGTATAAATATGTATCTCTACGTGTAACAATATGTAACTTTACGTAAAAAAATATGTAACTCGCATTTAGACAGGTCACATGCAACTCGTGTGTATAAATATGTAACTCGCGTGTATAAATATGCAACTTTACGTGTAAAAATATGTAACTTTACGTGTAAATATATGTAAGTCGCGTTCAGACATGTCAAATGCAACTCGTGTGTATATATATATGTAACTCGCTTATAAAAAGATGTAACTTGCTTATAAAAAGATGTAACTCGCTTATAAAAAGATGTAACTTGCTTATAAAAAGATGTAACTCGCTCATAAAAAGATGTAACTCGCTCATAAAAAGATGTAACTCAATGTATTATCAAATGTAACTGAGGCCACTGATCCACTCCCAAACAGATTCGATCTTCTATTTCACAAACCTATCATCTCCCAAACAGATTCGATTTTTCTTATAATCCAATACTCATTAATATAATAGTTCGATAATTTCTTAAAATTACATACACAATATTGGTCTCATTTGAAAGATCATGAAAAATAAAAAATGTTGATATAAATTTTATAAAAATCGGATCAAAAATAAAAAAGTTATTATCATTTTTAACATCAAAAGCAAAAAAAAAAAAAAAGATAAGCTGCGTCGTTTTTGCAACCGGGCGCACCATCCTCATGGTGCGCCGGTTGCACCATATAATTTGCAGCGTTTTGTCATAAAATTAAAATTGTCATAAAATTAAAATTTTACCATTTATGTCCCATGCCCCATCTCCTTCGAGGAGTTCGAGCCTTGTCCGTTCTTTTCTCTTCACGCTTCAGGTATGTTCTTTTACTTAATTTTTCTTCTTCTAATTTTTTCAATTTGTTAGATTTTTAAAATATTTTTTTCTATACAATCGTTTGAGACACGTGATTATTCTTGATGCTATCAATGCTTTTTGAAATATAAAGTTGACTTATTTCTTTAGAAAGAATTTGTATGTTTAGATTTATTTTTTTATTATAAATAATTAATTATTCCTTCTACATTTCAAATAAAATATTATTTTTAAAATAATAATTATAATTTCAACATTATCACCATTGGCTTTACTCAAATATTGTTTCACAAACATGATGAGTCACCTTATGATTTATGAATGCAAATATTTAAAACTGTATGAGACAAAGGTGTAAATTAAAATGTTGGAGTGTATAAATTACAAAAAATGAAAAAGGAATCATGACATAATAAAATAGGTGTGAGAAGGGAAGATTAAAGTCGATAAACTAAGAAAGATATAATACAAAAGTTAAGCAAAACATGACTATCAGATAATAAAAATCTTTTAGAATTGAGTTCGATCAATAAATACAAACGGAAGTCCCTGAAGAAGGTTGATGGGCATACATAAACCTCTGAAAGGCTAAAAGCCTCCAAAAGACCAAAACCAACCAGACAATTATATGAGAGAATGCAAGTCAAGTTTTGATCACAATTTGATGGAAAGAGAGGGTATGATTTCATCCCAAGTAGGTATGGACCGGGCCCGGTCCGGTTCCGGTTCGAGCCTGGGCCCGGAAGGGCTTGGATGGTTTTGGGTAAGGCCCGAGACCGGCCCGAGAGTCTACCGGTTCCGAGCCGGGCTGGTTCCGGTTTTTTTTTTGTGTGTTTTCTTATTTATTTCAACCCCCCCCCCCATCCCCCAAACCCCTAGGAAACACCCAGCTCAGCCACCTAAACCCAACCCAAACCCAAAAAAACAAAAACAAAAATTAAAGCCCGAACCGGGCCCGGACCGGCCGGTTCACCCTTTTGGAGTCCCGGAACCGCCCCCGGTTTCACTCTCGGGCCGGGCCTAAGCCATGTATCGGTCACCCAGGTCAGGCTGGTCCCGCACAGTAAGCGGGCCGGGCCGGTTCCCGGGTTGGTCGGACCGGATCCATGGCTAATCCCAAGTCGTTGCTTGGAGGTAAACTTGATACCTCTCCCTTGCGGCACCCTCTTCCTATCAGGTGAGCTACACCCCCGATGTTGATGGGCATGTAAATAAAACAGGATGACACTCCTTTTTTAAAGGAGTGTTTAGTATTTTTTAAAGGATCTTATGGATCTAGATAACCGAAACATAACCCCTAAAACTTACGTGAACCGTAAAACTACGAAGGTTAAATTGACACTTTTCTCGATTCTTACAAAACATTGCCCGTGGCCCAGGGTCATTCTAAGAAAACAAGGAGTCTGTGCAATATAAATATTAGGCCTTTTTCTAGCACATCTTAAATAAAATATTGACAACCTAATAACCTAATAATATCAATTTGTTAAACGAAATCGTAAATTAAGGAAAAATTGAAAATAATAATCCCAACTATTGTCGGTCCGCTAACAATAATCCCAACTATTGATTATTTTTGTATAATCCCAACTATATGAATGTCTGCCAATACTGGTCCATGATCAAGTATAACCTGCTATAACATGTCAATTTTAAATGGAAATTAAGTGTGTTCTATAAATAATCTCAACTATGTTCAATCCCAACCATCAACTAATCTTTTTACAAAAAGTAATAATATTCATTTAAATTTCAACCCACAATGAATATCTCTCTACTCCAGAAACTTAGTATGAAAGACCAGTACTACCAAAATCAACTATGGGGTGAGAGAATTAACAGCATTCATGAAGGCAGTTATCTGCAACTTATCCTTTTGGATGCCACCCCGAGCACAAATTCCGCTGCTTACATCAACCCCATGCGGGTTAAGGGTAGAGATTGCTTCACATACATTTCCCGGGTAAACCCCTCCCGCCAAAAGCCACCCACATTTACTTCTGATGGGAGGTAGCTTAAATACTGTCCAGTTAAATCCTTTACCACTGCAAAGTAAATATCTTCCCCATATTAAAAAAAAACTATGCCAAGCATATCATCAAGTACAAATTCGTAAGAACTTTTTTTCAACAAATTGGTGTAAGAAAAACTGAAGAGTTACTTAGGCTCCGTTTGATTGCTGAAAATGAATTGTTGTGAATTGTTGATTATTTAGGCTCTATATAATGTTCTAACCATAAAAGACTTTGAAGAACAGTTTCATGAAAATGACTCCTCTTTCGAAAAAGGAGGTCAAGTATTTCATAAAATGCAATGTTGTCATCTTCAATCAACAAGAACCTTTAAGTTATTGCCTGTTTACATTCTTTACAATGAGTGAGAAATTAAAGTTGAGAGATTGATGTATTAAGCATCAAACTTGCAAGCATAGAGGAAGGATATACCATACCTTCCACCTCTGGCACTATCAACTAGAACCCAATCAACCAAAGAGGACTCTTCATCATGAATAGTGTTCAAAAGTTCTCCATCTTCACTCACGTGAAGAACATATATTACTTTCTTTTCCTTCACCAGAATTGGAAAAGCAACTCGCGAACCATTCCCATGAAGCTGCACTATTTTAGTGAGTTATGTGATGAAGAACAACTAAATGTCTCTTACATATTTAGTCAAAATTTCAAATTCTGTTTTATTTTTATTTATCAAGTATATGTATATACAAATAATTAAAAAATAAGCGCATTTCATTTTCCTTGGCATTTACCAAGATAACAGAAGTCAAGAAAATAACTTCCTTTCACTTTTTTCGTTTCTAAGATTTATTTACTTGAACCAATCCAAACATACCCTGAGGGTTGTTTGGATCCTGGAAAATACTAAGGAAAGACATTACAAAGAAAACATATGAAGGACAAAATACTGGCAAAGTAAAAAATGGGCTAAAACTTAGTAAATGCATTTCAAATATTGGTTGATACTCATTTCATTCATTTACTGTAAAAGATTAAGAAATCTATATATATAAGCTAAAAAATAGGCATATTTCATTTTCCTTTGCATTTTCAAAGATAAATCCAAGCATAAGAAAATCACTTCGATTTTTCCCTTTCGAAGACTAATTTATCTTTTTCCATCATTTGCAATGGAGCCAAAGATTCATTACTTTTTGGCTTGAGATTATGATGGAATAAAGCAAAATGGCTGACTAAACTGTCTGCGCTTCTTTGTTATGGAGAAGCAGTCAGTCCATGCAATTTTGGACGCGATTTTCACTATGGGTCATCCGGAAACAGTCTCTCTGTGCTTTAGTGTAGGGGTAAGACTGCGTACATCCGACCCCCCCTTATCCCACCGTAGGTGGGAGCCTTTGAGGCACTGGGGTAAATGAAAATGATGAAGACTAATTTATCTGAACCAATCAAAACCCACCCCGAGTAATTACAGAAGCAGGGGGATTCATGTCCAAGACTTATTTACCTGAACCAATTCAATATCTGCTGCATCAGACGCTTTCAGTATGGTATCGGCATCGTCATCAACAAACACCCCAACAGGCCTTGCTCCATATTCCCTAGCGACTTTAGAAATTTGCTTTGCAACAGTGAGTGAAACAGAACGCTTTGACTTAGGCCATATGATCATGCCTATATAATCTGCACCAGCTTCTGCTGCCAAAGCAGCATCTCTAGCTGATGTGATTCCACACATTTTGACTACATGTTGTCTTTCGTGTGGGCCCTTGTGAGCACATGTCACTTTGGTTGTTTGCTTCAATATGCATTTTCTGCCTTGTGTGGAAGTTTTGATGCTGATGAAATGTTGACCTCTACTTGATAGATCTACATAATGAATAAAAGTGTAAAGGATTGGATATGTTTTTTCCATGCAAAGATAGCTTCTTTTGTTTTTGTCGTGGTAATTTTTTGTATTTCATCCTTGTAATTTACAGCATTTTTGCTTTACACATTCTCCATCAACCTCCATTTGGAGGGATGAATAACAAAAAAACAACTCTTGGAGGACCTAAAAGATAACAAACAAAATCATTTTCAAGGACCTAAGAGAGAGAAATGGTATATAGGCATGTAGCAAATATTAAATATATAGGAGAACAACTGATGCATTTTAAGCCGGTTGAAAAGAGCTACCAGTAGTTTACGCCACATGCACACGCTCAATGATTGACAAGTTCGAAATACAGACCAAAATGATGATCTTTAAATTTTCCTCCAATCGGTTTCTCAAAATTATATATAACCAATAAGGCCATAAGTTGGGATGAAAATGGCCAAAATGGAGAATTATACACTAACCAAAATGGCAGGAAAAGGGAACAAATGGAAAGAAAATTCTTGTGTTCAGCATAACCTTTGAAAATACAAAGAAAAATCAAATTTGATAAAATCTTTTTAAAATTTTATACATATTTCTATTTCTAGTGTCTATATAATACTCCTTTGAGCTTGAGCAAGTATATATACATAAATTACTTATTGAGTTAAAACAGATTTCTTATTTTCTGCCAAATTTCCCCTTTGTTTTGCTTCATCTTTCTCTCCCTAGCATTTTTTTGTTCCAAATTTCCCCTTAAATCCAGTTACTCCTCTGAGTTCTGATGGGATTACTCAACTTGCCCTTACCTCTAGTACGCAAGTCTTTTGTATTGCGTTTGAGCTGAAACCCCACTTTTGGCCCTGAAAATCAAATTCACAGTCTAAATAGGAATTGTATTTGCAAATTCCAAGTAAAAGAAAGCCAATAAATGCCAAAGTCCAAGTGGAAACTTGAAAAACAATTACAATGCATTCTAGCCTATTTGCCTCTGTTCTAAATCTATGCTCCCTCCTCCTTTAAAGAACTCACTGTTTTCCTTGTTTTGACGCCCCTAAATAATGTTCTCTTTCCTTATTTAGCAAACAAATTCCTTTCAATTTACTTGACTACAGACTACCCTTAAGTAATAATGACTACAACGTCAAACTATGTCAAAACAATGTACTCAACTATAATCTTTAACCTAAGAAGAAAGGCATTTTAGGAAGTTACAAAAAATTTAGCTTACTAGTTACTGTGTGTTATTCAAGCAAGAATGTTTTTAGAAGGATGGATGTAGTATACCTAACTCTGATCTATACTACTTTCACCATAAGTCCATAATTCAATTATTATTCGTACTTCAAATAACATATCATGTGTTTAAGTTCAAAATAACATTTTCCATAATTTAAAATTAAATAAAAAATATTGGTCAAAATCGCATAAATATATCTCAAGTGGAAAGGGGTCGGTTCCAGTACAAATATTGCTTACCATAAAAAATACTAACGGAGCTTTTTTATTTGTTCTTGATGCATTTTCAAGAGTGAAGTGAGGCCTTCAAGACTGTGGCAGAAAAAAAATGATTTACTTACCAAAATGTCACCACAGTTTAACCAAGATAGAGTTTTTATTTAAAAGAAAGGGCGTGTTTGGCATTTAGCTGATAGCGGATTCATTCAGTGGTTTGACTAGTGGAATAAATTGGCAGGTTGTTAGAAAATGTTTGTTAATTTAGCTGTTTGGTCATAAAACTAGTAAAAAACGCCATATTAGAAAAAACTAACTCAAAACTCTCCTATTTGAAGCGTTTTCGTTTCGGCATTTCCGTCCAAAAACGCCGGTGCTGAACAACTATTTACCAAACACCTTTTGCACATATTGGAAACGCTAAATGTGGTCAAACCGTCATTTTTATGCTTAAACCCCCCAAAGTCAGAAAACATTCCAAAGCACACGCATATATAACTAGGGAATGTATATATATGCAGTACTAGTATATATAAGGAAATAATAAAGAAGTAGAAAGAGTATACCAACCACAAACACAGAACATATCCTTCCTCCAGAGTTCGAAATTATTCTCTTTCAATGTGCGAAGGTAAATTAATACTCCGTAATATGACTGCTATTCGTATTGTACATGGAAAAGAACTCAATTTGACAATTTAAAACGTGATTGTTCGCAGAATTATCTGGTAAAGTTTCAAACGTTTACGAGTATAAATTAGGAAAAGAAGTATAAAAGAATACCTGCATTCTGGGTCAATTTCTGCATTAGATTTCTAGCCACCACTCCGCCTAGAACCTTGTTTGAATATATATTTATTCAAACAAAAATAAGTCTCACTTCAATTTGGATCAGAGGTTAAGAAAGTGAGAATAAAGTGGAAAATGTATGGTTGTGGTTGAGTAAGAAAAAAGTAAATGAATGTTAGCCACACAAAACTTTCCAAAAAGGGAAATGGGAACAATTTTTCGTAACGGCCCAAAAAGGAAAGTGAGACTTATTTTATGGGACGGATGGAGTATTTGAAAAATTATTAAAATGTTTATCTACAGTGACATCAGCCAATACAGTCAAAAAAATAACTTCAACCTTACTTTTTCTTATTATTATACAATTCAGGGCACAAAATCAAAAAATATGTGTTTGATTAAAAACTTGGCTGACAAGCCTGATAAAACGAAAAACAATGTCACCAAACAACCTCTAAATATAAAAGAAGACATCCACACTTTGAGAGTATTTATAATTCTCTTTTAAATCTCTTTTAAAAAAGAGAAATTTATCTTAGATACGACTAAAACTCGTCCACTCTATCAATCTATAATTTTTTTACATTTTCCCCAAAATAATATTTAAATTCACATTAATTAATTAATTCACAAATATATAAATAATTTTTAAGGACTAATTTACCCTTAAATTGATACAGAGTATTATAAAACTCTAAGTTCCTACTCATTTTCTAAAAACCTAGCCACTAGCCCGTCGCCACGGCATCCGTCGCCCCAGCTGCCGCGGCACTCACCGCCCTGTCGCCGTGGCACTTGCCACACCCATCGCGGAGCCACCCGTCGCCCTCGTCTCCGCGCAGCCACAACCGCCCCCGCCCCTCATGCCGTGGGTGGCTCCGTCCATGACCATAGTCAAGTTTAATCGTTATATTAAGTAATACTTCCTCCAGTCCCAAATGAAATTCACACTTTGACTTCACAAATTAAGAAAATAAATTTGACTTTACAGTAGAGTACACTGTTGTGACACTGTTTGACACTGTTTTGATGTAGATAATTTGTCAAATAAGGAAGGGAGAAGAAGTGTGTAGTTTATTTTGGACCTATCCAAAAAAGAAAGTGTGAATTTCATTTGGGACCGGAGAGAGTATAATAAAGTAAAAATTATGTATTTGAAGTATGTGCGAATCAAATGTAATTAATAAAAAGTAATTGAATTTTTGGATCAATAAAAAAAGAAGTGGTTAAGTAGTATGAAACTAATGAAGTTATAAACTTCATTTACATTTGATTTTTTTTATCTGGTCTGATTAAATATGACATATATGTTATTTTACTGCTACGTATAAATTTGTTTAAATCATATCAAAACACTCAATTCCATCTAAATTACACAAAATGAAGAGAGCAAGGCATTCATTCATCATCATCATCTTTGATGACTAGATGTTCTCCAAATAAGGACCCACGCGTGTTACCAAAGTTGACGAACTATAACGATTGCCCGCATTCGTACAATCATACATCAATGTGAAGTTTATCTTCATCGTCTTTCCGCGTGGCCTCCACCTACCATTAGGCATGGACTTGGGCCGGTCCGGTCCGGACCTCAAGCCGGGCCTGACCGGATTTTTTTTTATTCTTGAGGCCCGGAACCGGCCCGGGTAGCTGCCGGGTCCGGTTCGGACCGGGCCTCAGGTCGGCTACCTAATTTTTTTTTCTAATTACTTCCTACCCTCCAACCCCACACGGTCACACCCCAAACCCCTCCAAAACATCCAGTCCAACCTATTTACCTCCCAAAGTTTTTGAAAAACAAAAAAAAATTGGCCTGGGGCCGATTCAAGTTATAGAGACCCGGAGCCCGGCCCGAAAATCCCGGTTCGGGTATAATGCATCCGGTCCCCGGTTCGGGCTGGTTCGTAACAGTATCGGGCCGGGTCGTGCCGGTTCCAATCCAGTTGACCCGACTTTATCTTACGTGTTATTGAGTCATAACGGCCCATTGACTAGGGCTGGATCGGTAAGGTATACCGAAAATTTCAACCAATACCGTATACCGTACCGAAAATGCGGTATGACAAATTCTTATACCGATACCGTACCGAGACTTTCAGTATACCGTGTTTCGGTATACCGAAATATCGGTTTGGAAAAAAACTCATACCTTACCATACCAAAGATTCGGTATCCCGAAAAATTTCGGTAATACCGTACCGTATCGAATGGGAATTTTTTTACAAATTACAAATAATGATTAAAGGACTCATTTACAAAAAGAAAAAAGAAAATGTCACAGGGGAAGGAATCAGCTGCCTAACTTGAAAGCATCTACATGAAGGGAAGACAAAGGTTTTCTGTACATTAGACAAACAGATTTAGTGAACAAAAATAGAGACAAAACATTATTTTGAATTCAAATGCAAAGTGTTATGCTGCTGGACAGCTTATGATATATTAGGCTTTTCATCAAACAATTGATATACATTAAGCATAAAGCTAAATAAGCATTCATAATAAGCATAATAGTACTAACCAGTCCATTAAAACTGGTAAGGTTAAATTGAAACTTGTAATTAAAACTTGGTATTAACCATCTAAATAACAATCCATATACTATGCCAATTAAAACCTGTCATTTCCATTAAGCATAATAAACATTATATCTTGCATTCCTTTACATAGTCCTAACCAGTAAGGTTAGAAAAATTCAAATATATATATAAACATTGGTAATAGGTTGATTCTGTTTGTTTAATTTGTCATCACAAAAGCACAAGCTTTCCTTCATTGCTAATCAATGGGGGATACATGAAAGCAGGAAATTAAAGGCGGATCTAGAAATATGTATTGTGCTGGATCGCATGAACAATACAAGCTTTCTATCCCTAATTAAACACCTCTGTAAAATCAAGAAACAGGGGAGGACGAGGAGGAGGTACCATGGCACTGACAGGTGATAGCAAAAGGTTGAATCTTTTGTCTAAGACTGGCAAATTGTTTGCAAAGATCACCTAACGAATCGTTGGCGACATAGGAATTTTTTAGAAGACTGTGAACCCAACTTCCGGCAAGGCGTTCGATGGCCGGACACCAAACGGGGGCAACCATCCGTCCGTGGTTCGTTCGTTCACGGGGGCAACCAATCGCACAACCATTAGTCGAGTAAAAATCCATTTCAGGTTTGAAAGCCAACAAAGAATACAGTATATTACCTTCGAACTCGGACAGATTCCTTCAAAGTGAAAGAAGCCAGATGACAAACCGGTGTTCTTTCGCGATATTCCTCTTCACTCTTCACTCGGACAGCCGTCTGGTCATTAGGTTTTAGGGTAATTCATTGGATGTTAGTATGTTACGTAGAAGAAGTGGGCTTGGGTTTGGAAAAGTGGGCCTTAATTTTTGTATTTTGGTATTTATTACCAACTTGAATTTTATTTTGGGCTTGAAAATTTGAGTGGACTTCTACAATATTTAAAAAAATATAAAATAAATGTTGAATATGGAATCGGTACGGTATTATACCGGTATACCGCGGTATTTAGAAACATATACCGTTACCGTACCGAAATAAAGCGGTACGGTATGATACCATACCGAAAATGACGGTATACCAACATTCCGGTATTTTCAGGTATTTTTCGGTACGATAAGTGCGGTATACCGGTTTTCCGGTATTTCTGCCCACCCCTACCATTGACAACCTCCTAATCCCGGCTTTATCTTACGTATTATTATTTTTGCCTTGTATTTAAGTCAATTCTGACTAAATATTCTACATTAGTCTTATAATCTATTTTAAAAAGATAATATGTGACACCGTCCCCAAGCATGTTTACTTTTAGTAAAATTATGTAATGAACCTTGAAGGATGATTTATGAATTTACGTAATTGTTAAATTTTATTATTTCTTTTACGTGAATAGTAAATCACATGTGGGGCCCACAGAGGAAACGGGGACCGCCCGTGTAATACCCGAGATTAATTTAAGAGGATTAATAGTACTACTCATACCAACAGAGGTGCATCTCCTTTTAAGGGAGCTCATCACCCAAGAACTCCAAAGTTAAGCGTGCTTGCACGGGAGTAGTCTTGGGATGGGTGACCCCCTGGGAAGTATTCTAAAGGCCCATAATTATTGGGAACGTGTGATATATTTTATCTGACCCGATAAAATAAAATATGACTTAAATAGTCCAAAAAATACAACTTTCAGGACCGATTGTACACACCGGGACATAATGGGATGACCTCCCACATAAGTGGGGGCCACCCCACGTCTTCATGTGCCCTAGTTGACTAAAGGAAAGCTGGAAGGGACATGAATTGATGAGTGTGTGCGGACTCATGGGAGGGGGGGATGGCAAGACAAATGCACACCCCATTTGACCCCATTTTGACCTCAATAAGTCTTGATTGAATTGAATAGGGATACTTCTCCCCTTTTCACTTTGCACCACTCAGCCATATCAAGATAGGATAACCTCTAGGAAGAGCTCTCACAAGGTCCAGGGTAGGAGAAAGGCAAGAGGGAGGAAAACCCAACACAAAAGGAGTTAAGTTGAGGTAAGAATCCAACTAGTATGAATTAACTAGTTTATGTTGTATGATTTTCAAGAAATCATATGGGGGAGTAAACATGAAGTTCTTCACGTTTAAAAAGTGTAGAATGTTGATATATAATGGTGGTAATTAACTTAGAAGAGTTGGTGAATCGATAGGAGTCGAAATCGCTGGAAATCGCCACATATAGGAAGATGTTCATGTTGCAGGAGGACGAACGTCGCCCGGCTTTCGTGAAAGCCGCCCGGCTTTTGCCCAGCAGTCCAGTTTTAGTGATTCAATCGGCCTAGAACGGGGATTGATCGAAGGGCTTCGCAAAGGCATCTAGTTGAGCACATCATAAGGTGAGGATGACTGACTATATTGCTTATAATTAGTGAGTTAATTTCATAAGATTACCTAAGGTATTAAAGGTGATTTTCATGGATTATTAATGAGTAATAATGCTTAATGAAAATACTATTGATGTGAGTAAATGAAGCATAATATACAAATTTAGAATAAATTGTGTATGATTATGTGACATTAAAGGAATGGTATGATAATGGAATTAACTATGTGAATATTGCGATAAAATATACTTTTACATCATTTATGAAATTCATGAATGGATAAAAGTGATATTTTGATATTGGGATCAAATTATATTTGGATTGGAAAATCAATTGAAAGGAAATGTCAAGATGGTACCCATGGGGTTAAGTTTCCCTCCTCGGATTCGTAAGACTCGAGGGGACCCTATGGGGTTGGCGTGATTAGTAGTCACGAGGAATTAAAATAGTGAATTCTAAATGAATATGTGCCCACGGGCCGATTACTTGACTTTATATAAAGTAAGTACATTTTGAAAAAAGGGATAACCGAGGGTTATGGTCTATAATATAATATCACCCTAGATTGAGGGTCTTTGAAATTGAAACATTGATTATACTTAGTATAGTTGTCATTGTACTTGTCAAATGCTTCCAAGTACTGACCTCCCCTTCACGGGGGAGGCCACCTCACAGTTTCAGGTAAGAGCTGAGCTTGCTACCATTGTCTGTGGCTTCGGGGAGATACTAGGAGAGGAGACGTGGTTCGTGCTTCCTCCGTTTCTGTTTCAAAACAATTATAACAATGCTCATGGATATATTTTTGAATAATTATTTGGGGGCATGTATGCCCATGTTTGCCAAAGTGTGGCATAAACTCTTATATTAAGAGCCCGTTTGGTAGCATGAAAATCGTCTGTTTTGGCTGATTCAGCTAAAATTTATGAAGTTCTGGCTGAAGTGGCTGCATTGGCTGATTCTGCTGATACAAGAAAAAATATTTTTAAAATATATTTTATTAATAAAATAAAGAAAAAAATATATGTAAAAATAGCTAAAATGATCATCTACAGTAACTTCAGCCAATACAGCCAGAAAAGTAACTTCAATCTTACTTTTTCGGCTTATTACACAATTCAGTGCGCGAAAGAAAAATTTATGTGTTTGGTAAAAAAGTTGGCTGATAAGCCTGATAAGCCGAAAATGAGGGTTGCCAAACGGCCTCTAAATGTTTCCGCTGCTTTAAATAAATGTTTTACATTATGTTTGTTTATGGATGTACTACGTGTGAATGGTATTCAAGACGCCTTGTATAGTATGGATGAGTTGGACTGCGGTTGACTATTCATATTGTACGACGGGTTGTTGACGTGTCCGGCTAGGTCCGGGGCGTGACATAATAGGACCTACGCTAAAATCAGGATTACGAGGTTGTCAAAAGGTCTTTAGGACTCATTTGATTACTTTTTGTAAGTAGACGTATTTATATGACATTTTATTGAGTATATGGTCTTATGTGATGTTTTCATGATATCAGAAGGTCTTATTTGACTCTTTTCTCAAAATAATAAATACATTAATTTTAAGTAGAATTGATCGTAGATTTTAAAAGCAATACAATTGTTGTTGGATCAATAAAAAAACATGCTTCTTCAGTCTTCAACGTTTAAGTCTTTTTATTCATTTTAATTATTTCAATTTCATTTTCATTTACCCCAGTGCCGCAAAGGCTCCCCCACCTACGGTGGGGTAAGAGGGGGTCGGATGTACGCAGTCTTACCCCTGTACTAAAGCACAGAGAGACTGTTTCCGGATGACCCATAGTGAAAATCCTGTCCAAAATTGCATGGTTTGACTGCTGCTTCATAACATAGAAGCGCGGACAGTTTAGTGAGCCATTTTGCTTTATTCCATCATAATCTCAAGCCAAAAAATAATGAATCTTTGGCTCCATTGCAAATGATGAAAATTTATTCATTTTAATTATAGCATAACAAATTTATATAATTATTTTAGAGCCCCTGACTCAAATATCACCTTTATTTTATGAACTTTATTGGATACTTTCATACTCCGTATGATTCATATTTCAAATAAGTATATGGTTTATGATTTGTTTTGGATATAAGCCCAAAATAACTTATCGCTCATAGGTCCAGAAATGAACAAGACAGACCCTGATTGTTCATTCTAGGAAATATGAATAAACACAAAAGACATCTTACTTTGATGTACAACAAAATTTGAGCAATTTAATTTCATGTACGAAATTTTTTCTTTTTCTGTTCAAGATCTTATAGTCATATAGAGCTAACCGATTCACAGATGCAAACAAATATTATACCCGATGAAAATCAAAGAAAAAAAATTGTGTCTAAACAATCTTTTCATTTGCTTTTGGAACGCGCAGAACATGCTACATTTGTCCTCCCTCCTAAACTTACAGTTTAGGGAGCATAATGACGATAAATTCAGTTCCAAACATTAGTCTCCAGCTTCAACTCGTTATGCCAAACATAGCCTTTACAGAGCATAATGACGATAAATTAAAATTAAGTTTTAAATAACTAATAATATAGTTTAAAAAGTATAAGAGAGTAAGAAAGTCGGAAAGAAAATATAAAACATATAATTGAGAATTTTTAAAGAAAAAAGTTAACAAATAACCATAAAGAAAAGTGCAAAAAAAGTTTAAATATACTCAAAAAGGAAGGTGTAGCAAACATTTCAATAGAGAGGAACAGAAAAAATGAAAAATCTCAATCGCGAGGGGCAGTAAAACAGTAGGTAGTATGATTTAGAATTTTTATCAATTAAATAAGTTTTTCATTAAAATTTTTCTCGGCCAACCCAAAGTAGGAAAAATTTTAGGTGCGCTGTGACCTGTGGGTTAGGCGCTCGGTTACAGGCTCCACACAAGTTATGTATGAATCACAAAGCCACTAGTTTACACTACATATTGTATTGAAATGGAAATATAATGATAATTTCACACTCCTTATATATAGCATTATCAAATACTCTAAAATTATATGCGGGAGAATGTACTTGATAATAATAATAAGACCAAAGAGGAGAAATAAAATGTCATCAAACAGACCCATTATCATCAAGTTTTATTTCTTAGTTTAACTACATGGATTATGGATACATACATATAAGATTTCAAGAAATATTGAAACAAATACAAGAATAATAGATAGAGTTATACTTTCTCAGTTCATCTTCAAATCAATCTAAACCGATCGATCAGCCATCGGTCTTCTTCTATCCAACCGTGGTTGTGTTGGGGGACAATTCTTGGACCTACTGACTAACAAATCTAACATCAGTAACGTATATATATAAGAATATGAAAGAATATTTTGAGTAAGCCATACATGAGGCGAAATACATGGCAATAGAGAAAGGGATCTCGATCCCTTATGCCACCACCTGCTCATGATCTATATACATTTGATCCATCCACGACGGAACATCTTTGACCAAGGAATGAACCCAAGACACATCCGGCTCGTCCGCCACTCCACGTGATAGATTAGATGCCATCAACGGTGGAGAATTTCCCTTTCGAACTGCGAATGAAGCAGACTTCTTCAGCTTGTTTATCTCTTCCCCGCCGTATCCCCAATCCAGTTTCCCGTCGGGAGAACCCCAGTCAGCCAAGTTAGATGGTGTCATCAATGGTGGAGAATTGGTTGACCGGTGGTGGGTGTTGACCTTACTCCGGTCAATGAAACTCTGACTCCGCTTCGCAAAAGCGGCAGACCTTGAGTTCATGACTGCTGCTGCCACTGCCGCGGAAGAGTCGTATCCGTAAGTGTGGGCCCGGTTGGAAGGATAGCTGGCCCGAAGTTGGTTCATGTTTTGGCGCATTTGCATACCGGTAGGGGAATGCGCCGGAGAGAGTCCCATAGGAGAATCGAGAGAGCCAAACACATCATCGAGGTTGGTGGGGTTCAAACTCTTCCAACGGGATGGAGAGGCGAGACCTGCCATCTCCTCAATGAATTGCTGCTGGCTGAAATCCCGGGCAGTGAGGGTTGTCTTCAGTCTGCTGCCTGAAAGCTGTAACGATGGTGGGATGAAGTTTTGCCACGCTGCCCCGCCACCGCTCATTGGGGATGAGCAAGTGACAGTAGGCGACATCGGTGGGGTCCCAAGGGGCAAAGAACCCAATGAAGACGACATGTCCATCGAACAGCTGACTGAAGGAGACTTTGGTGAAGGAAGGGCCGAACCAGTTGATGCATACAATGGGCGTAACTCATCTGGTCTGTGGGCAAAGAAGCACACTTTCCTTGAGCAACCTGTCTCATCCTTACAAAGACGGGTCTTATATTGAGCCGGATGTAGCCATGACTCAAACACGCCATGCGCAAACTCACAGTTGTCCCCCTTTCCACAACTACCCTTCTTGAACTCAGGGCACGGCACACAGGTGTAGGTATACTTGGTTGGGTCACGCCTCCTTGCATTCTCGCCCGGGTGGACAAATGGGCACTCCGTCCAGTCATGAGAATACGCCCTCGAACACGGCTTCACCTTGAAACTGTACATCCTAAACTCATCACTCCCATATACTCCAGTGTTTATATCCGGCAACGACGTGTCCACTGGATACTCTTTCCTCTCAAAAGTCACTTTTACACGTTCTTCATCAACCTCTTTACCGTTTAACAAGAATGACAATTCCCTCCTCTTTGAATTGGTGGATAGTTTCTGGCAAGGAGCGATATAGTCACAAGGTTTGTTTCCGTTGGCGTCAAGAGAGTTGACGTTTGCAGAAGCTGCTAAAAGGAGCTTGATGACCTCAATGGAGTGCTCATATCCGCCAGCAACGGCACAGTGAAGAGGGGTTACACCATCAGAGCCGCACGCCGTGTTGATGTCCACTTTCCTGGTTTCAACAATATACTTCAAAACCTTAGTGCTTCCAAACATGGCCGAAATGGCAAGAGGTGTCCTCTCTTCAAAACACATCTTTTTGGAACCGATTTTCCTTCCATACCAAAGGCTCAACTCATTAACATCACAGCCCTTCTCTTCAACTTCAAAGATGAAGGCAGAAACATCATCTGTGGCTGATAATTCTAGCAATTTCGAGCAATTTTTATCCGAAATCCAGATTTTCTTTTCCATTTCTGAACAAACAGAGCACAGCTTATTCGGTAACCCACAGCACATCAAAGCCTGCAAGTTGAGAAGTGCTAATTTCAACTACCCATTTCATAAAAATTGAATCTTTCATACTCATCTACACATCTGACCAAATACAAACACCTAGACTGGACTAATTAGATCAACTTCAATGAACAGGAAAAAATACCCAATTCTTACAAGCTCGATTTTGTTGAAAATAAACATATACAGTATTTTAAGAAAAGAAACAGATTTAACTTCCCATTTCATAAAATCTCAATCTTTCGCGTATGTGGACACATCAAGCAAATACTAACACCTAGAAAGCACTACTTTGACCACAAAGAACACAAATCAAAGCCATAAGAGTAATTTCGGAAAATTTAATAAAATAAAATAAAATAAAATAAACAGATATTTTCTCAACATACCTTGAAAGGAGTAAGACTTATTCTGTCAGTGAAGTAGACTCAAAGGAGATGAGAGAACAAGTAAGTTTAGCTTTGAAAATGGTTAAGATGGAGAGGACTTGGGAACAGGGTGGTGGGTTTATAAGGCGTCTGATCGCAAAGGAATGTGGAGGGTGGGCGGAAGGGAGGAGGAAGGTGTGACTTTTCTTCTCGCTACTTTCTTGTTCGTCTTTGTGAGTTTCTTGATTTTTCGCGTTGGTCAAAAGTCAAAGACGGAAAGGGCTTGGGACCCGCCTCACACCTCTTCTGTGTTTTACTGGTTCCTGCCTAGAGAATGCAAATGAAATGCAAATGCGAATGAAATCCGAATCCAAGTGAAATGTAAATGCAAATGCAAGAGGGTGAGGAGCTTACTAAGGAAAGAAAATAATAGTGGGCGGGCTCCACTTCTGAGTCAGTGCTTCGACATCGCTATCCAGCCAGTTAACGGCGTTTAGTGCCTTGCGCGTCAGCTTGGGGTTTCACGTTAACGGCATCCTGAAGTGTGGCATGTGTTAAATCATTGGAAATTCTTTTCCTTTTCAGCCTCCCAAACAATTCTTCCCCAAGGCCCAAATCCCTCTCTTGAAATAGCAAATTCTGGATTGGACTTGGTACATGCATTTATGCAACACGTCTTTTGTTACTTTTCTTTAGGAAGTTCAATTTTGAAATATACTAATTATTAAAGAATAAAGAAAGTATTACAGAGCATATTAATATAATATAAATAAGATGTTACAGATTAGCAACAAGTGTACTAAAGAACGCCTATTATAAATTTAAATTCTTACAAAAATAATAATTTATTTATAGGATGGAGAAATAACATGAAAAATTTATATGACAAAAATAACTCTGGACCTCCAAGCCTTTGATAAAAACAAAAGAGATTGCTCCCGGGTAGGGGTGTAAATGAGCCAAGCCGTTCGCGAGCTGCTCGTGAACCGCTCAGTCAAAGCTCGACTCGAGTTCGGTCAAACTTAAGCTCGACTCGAGTTCGGATCGGCTCGAGTACTTAACGAGCTCAATTCAAGCCTAGTTATTATAGGCTCGTGGCTCGCGAGCCGATTCGCGAGCCATTATGTGTGTATATATACAATATTTATTCTATTTTAGGATATAATTACAAGGGTTATATCAACATTTATTCTCTTTTAGGATTTATTGTATTTGAAATATTTGTTCTAATGACCCTAAAATCTTTTAGAAATAAGGTTTGAATGTTGTTGTGAAATATTCATTCTAATAATAATAATAATAGTAATAGTAATAATAATAAAAATATCAACAATAATAATAGCAATAATTGTAACTATATAATAAAAAACAACGATAACAACAAAAATGATAATTATAATTATAGTATTAGCAACAATAATAACAATAATAAGTACATAATAGGATTAAAGGTAACGGCCCACCCAAATTCGAATCCCTTATGTAGAAATTTTACTCCGTACATTTAAGTTTTACTCCTTCGATTTTGCTTGCATCCATTTGTCCCACATCGGTGGGAGTGAAGAAATGAGCCTTGAAATGCCTCAATAAATACGCACATCTCCCACTTCATAGAAAGGTTGCAAGTATCCGTTCTATTATACTGTAGCCACGGTATGGCTATTTGAATAGCCTTCATTGGTATTTTCTGGTGACCTCTATTTTGGGGTGTTTATTTAAAAAATTTGTTTAGTTTAATCCTTTTACTCAAATGAGCTGAGTTTTCAGCTTATCGAGTCGAACTCGATCTGAATTCGAGCTTAAGTAAATGTACTCGAGCCGAACTCGAGTTTGGATTTTTGAGCTCGTTCGAGCTCGAGCCGAACTCGGGCATGCAGTTTTTTTTCGAGTTTGAGCTCGAGCATATGGGAGTTCGGGCTCGGCTCGGCTCGATTACACCCCTACTCCCGGGAGTAAACCATACTTAGTAACAAAAATTCAAATATAGGATTAATAATATTTATTCGGCTTATTTAATTATATTAAAAATACGTATAAAATAAGGGATCCTGTTTTGAGAAGAGAATGACATTCCTATTAGAGAAAATGTGTTGTTCCGTATAATCTAATCATTGATAGAGTATATGGATTCAGATCTTCGGTATCATGAGTCATGATTATTGGACGTAAACAATCTCCTGCACAGACGCAGTAGAAATCATTTATATCATGGAGACTTACCTAAATGGGAGTAATTGAATTTTTAATTGCCAAAATAAGACTAAAGTTTAAAAATTCCCTAAATAGGAGTTATTATACTACGTTGACAGAAATACCTTGAAGCTTGACAAAATAGATTGCTGCCGATAGACCGTCGGATCGGTCGCCGCCACAGTCTCAAAACTAGATGTCGATCTGATTGCCACCTCCATAGATCTGGATGCCGCCTCCATAGATCGGGTCGCCGCCTTCATAGATCAGACCAGATCTAGCCTCCGTTGTCCGTTGACTGGCAACGATACCACTGCCAGTGCAGATCTGGTCGCCAGTGCAGATCTGGTCGCCTCCACCGCAAATCCGACCATCACTACTCCAGAACTAACTAACGCCACCACTGATACCAACCATTTTATGAGAATGCCAACATGAATCGAAAATTCCATCTTAATGGCATTTAAAAAAATGAAATTTTTAAAGAGCCAGAATGCCATTTTTTTAGAATTTTCAAAAAAAAAAGGCAATCCTAACAACAAGTACACCACGCCAGTTTGATTTCACCACTATTGACAAACACAGAGCAATTTCAAACCTCAAGCACGAAGACGAGGAAGAAGAAGAAGAAACTAAAGTAAAAGCTCAAACAGATTCGTATAAAATAAAAGAAGAAGCAAAGAGACAACATGGATGCAAAGAAGCGGGAAGAAGACTCATGGCTTGGCACCATAGCAACCACATCAGATTCAGGTGAAAAAAAATTGAAAATCAGAGGAGTGCGAGGAAGAGAAACCTGACGCTCTCTGCTGCTGCTTGTCAGCGCTACTCGCCGGCTCTCACTTCTCGCTGCGCCCCTGCCGTTGAAGCCTTGCTATGTGTAAAGATGCGAACCAGATGAGCGTGCAATGGAGGTTATGAGTTAATTCATTTTCATTTTCATTTACTCCAATGCCGCAAAGGCTCCCACCTACGGTGGGGTAAGGAGGGGTCGGATGTACGCAGCCTTACCCCTGTACTAAAGCACAGAGAGACTGTTTCCGGATGACCCATAGTGAAAATCCCGTCCAAAATTGCATGGACTGACTGCTGCTTCATAACAAAGAAGCGCAGACAGTTTAGTGAGCCATTTTGCTTTATTCCATCATAATCTCAAACCAAAAAATAATGAATCTTTGGCTCCATTGCAAATGATGGAAAGAGGTTATGAGTTAATGAATGGTTGAAATGAATTAGAGGGGTAAATTTGGAAGAATGGTCTTAGTTAGGGAATAAAATTATACCTACTCCTATTTAGGAATTTCAGCAACAAATTGATCCTATTTGGGGTTATTTGCCATTTATATTACTCCCTTCGTTCCGAAATTATCTTCATTCTTTCCTTTTCGGTCCGTCCCAAATTTATCTCCTCTTTCCCTTTTTGGTAAAGAATATGTGGTTCACAATCATTCTTACACATTTATCACTCCTCTGCACAACTCTCCACCACACAAATCTCACTATCTTAATCCACGTGCCCAGTCAAAACTGAAGTTAATTATGAGACGGAGGGAGTATTATTATTATATACACTTTAGTTTATTAATTTCTAACCATTAAATTAGCTTTTATACTCCCTCCGTCCCATAAAATTCTTCCCACTTTGACTTGGCACGGAGATTACGAAATGTGTGATTGTAGTTGTGTAAGAAAAATGTGAAATGAATGTGAACCACACAAATTATTCAAAAATGGTAAATGGGAAGAACTTTTTGGGACGGATCAAAAAAAAGTGGGAAGAATTTTATGGGACAGAGGGAGTATCATTTATAAGTTCTTTTTGTAATCGGGTCTATGGAATCTATACCATTAGGGCATTAGTCATTTAGTGTGACTCACACATTCGTATATACACTCCCCTTGACAACTTGGTAATCCCTAATTCATTCTAACTCTAATACATTTCTACATGCTCTTACTAGCCCAAACCCTCACTAAATTATACTCCCTCCGTATCTAATTAGATGATCCGTTTGCTTTTCACGGAGTTTAAGACAATTACTGTAGACTTTATAAAAAGTAAGACGTTTTTGGTACTGTAGCGACACTGTAGTGGTACTGTAGCTGCTTTTTGAGTGAGATTCTTTCCAAAAAAGGAAATGAGACCATTAATTTGATACACAAAAAAGGAAAGTGTGACAAGTAAATAGATAAGGAGAGAGTGTGTTTGGATATCTCAATAATCCACCACTCCTATATCTTCTCAAAACTAAATCTATTACTTCGTATATAGGTAATGAGGTGATGTCTCGTTTAGGGATGGTGGGACCAAAGGAAAACTTATCCTCAATTCCTCATATTATAACAAAGTTTAGAAACGAAAGGTAAGGATGATGTATTTGAAGAAGATAAACTAAAGAATAATACTGTCAAATTCTACCCATACACATGAGCTACTTCCAGGTAGGGTTGGACTCGGGTCCGGGCCGGGTCCGGGTCGGGCCTAGGCCCGGGCGGGCCGGCGGGTCAGAAATGGTGGACCCGGGACCGGCCCGGGTAACCACCGGGTCCGGTCCGGGTCGGGCCGGGCCGGGCCCATTATATTTTTTTTTTTGGTTTTCCTCTTCCTAATTAACCCCCCTCCCACCCCCTACCCCCCAAACCAACCCAAATGGCCCAAAATACCCAGCCCAACCCGAAAAGTTAAAAAAAATTGGAAAAAAAAAAAAAAATTGGCCCGAACCGGGCCCGGGCTCGGGCCCGGCCGGGTCGGGCCTTGTTTTGGGTGACCCGAGCCCGGACCGGAAAACCCACGGGCCGGGCCTACCCGGACCGGTCACTGACCGGGCCACCGGGTCGGGTCGGGCCGGAACAGTGCCGGTCCCGGGCCGGTTCCGGGTCGGGCCACCCGGCCCGAGTCCATCAATACTTCCAGGACCGGTCCCGGCGGTTTCAAAGCCTATAGGCGAGTGATATATAATAGGCCTACTTTTTCAAAAGATATTGTTAATTTTTTCTCAACTTTTTTTCTCTTTGTACTATATCCCATCCAGATTCGTCCAATTTTATTACATTTTAAAATTAATAAAATTTTAAATTGTT